AGATACACCCTCCGTGTATCTGGTGACCCGACGGGCAGCTCTCGTGGACTGGCAGGAGTAGGGATAGCACTAAGCATGAGGGCGGAACAAGCACTGTTAGAGTGGATCCCCGTTAACAGTCGTTTATGTGCTGTTCGGCTTAACGGCTCCGTAAGAACTCGGAATTATAGGGACACACGTCATTGCTTTTTCGTTGTTTGTGCCTACGCTCCCACTGACTGCAGCCCGGATGAACTGAAAGATGGATTTTACAGAAAGTTTTCTAAACTTCAAAAAGCTAAACACTCAAACATAGTACTAGTCGCAGGTGACTTTAATACTTAAGCAGGTAGGTTAAACCAATCAGAAAGACATTTAGGTGGGTATTTTAGTATTCCAGATCAGCGGACAGATAGTAGTGACCATCTGCTGCAATTGTTCTCAGATAATCGTTTGTTTTTAGCAAGCACTAATTTTAAGCATAAGGAGACACATTATCTAACATGGCGACCCCCTGCACCAAATCAATGATGGACTCAACTAGACCATATTGCCATCTGTCATCGTTGTAGAGGATCGATAGAATACTGCCGCTCGTCCTGGAGTACATGTTTAGAATCTGATCATGCTCAAATACGAGCATGCATTTGCTTGCACCTCACTGAACTTAGAAAAGCCACATTGAGAAGACCCATTAGAGTTGAACTCAGTGACGAGAAAGCCAAAAGTAGATTTCAGGAACAACTGAGGTCACAATTAGTTCTGGAAACGAGGCTGACCCAGATGTTGTTTGGAAAGATATACGAACAGCTGTGGAAACAGCAGTGACATCTATTAGTGATTTGAACCATAGGGTCATGGAAAACTAGTGGATTTCTGCTAGGCCTATTGCCCCTAAACGCCCTTGTACGGCTGAGTATGGAGTCAGCTCTCACATGGCCATGTGTATACAGCAGGTGCCAGGGAAGTCCTACTCACTGCCTTCTCGCGGCATTACGAAATTGAGTGGATGAAAAGCGCTTATCTGGTGTTTTTAACCGGGTTAGTGGACACGTAGAATTCACCTAGGGGAGTCGGAAAACCTTGATTCCAAATCAATGTTGCACATTGGCTTCAGGATCCTGAGAGAATAAAATGGCATATGGACCAATCATTGGTCACCGGCTACCATGAGACTGCATCTCCTGAAGTTGCTCCACTGCCTTGTGGATCAGACCTTTAGGCCGAAGACTTGGGGTGTGGCCCCCTAAGAAAACCACCTGCTTCGGTCTGGGCATCCGGGCAGTATCCCAGCGCACACACAAACCAAGTAACTCGTGTGGCGCATATGTATTCGGTGCCTCCTTGTACAAATATTTGTGTTCAAATTAATAAATAAATACCATCCGATCAGGCTTCAAACATGATGAAGAGCGAAAACAAATCAGATCTTGGTAAACCAAAAGTCTACGGAACGACGTGAGCAGTGGTGGGCAACGAAAGCAAGAGATGGAAAGGACAGCGGCTGTAGGTAACATTAGACCGCTTTTCAGACTAATAAAAGAAACTGGAATTAAGAAGTCAATTGTAAGTGATATGATCTCGGAAAAAGCTGACATTCAACCTAGATGTTCAGAATAATGGGTGGAACACATTATGGAACAGTTTAGCTGACCTCCAGCACTGCTACAACTACCCATCATTCTCAAACAGCCTGAATGGAACATTGAAGTAGGCCCTCTGACCCTAATTGAAGTTCGAAAAGCCATAGCTAATCTGAAATGAGGAAGAGCAGCTGGTCCGTATGGATTGGCTTCAGAAGCCTTTAAGGATGGTGGTTCAGCTTTGGTGATTAGGTTGACTAATATTTTAGCTAAAATCTGGGGATCGAATGTAATCCCATCTGAATGGTCTAAATCACTGATCGTTCAAATAAAAAGAAAAGATCAAAATCATCCTATGACAACCACAGACGGATTAGCTTGATTGATATAGCATCTAAAATACTAGCTTCAATAATTATCGGACGCCTAAAATAAACTCGTGAACTTTAAACACGAGAAAATTGGCTGGCTTTAGACCTGGTTATAGTTGTATCGACCACATATTCACCATTCGCCAGGTTCTAGAACACAGGCATGCCTATCGGAGTCCGGCAATAGTTGTCTTTCTTGACCTAACAGCAGCATTTGACTCTAGACCGAGAGGTTCTGTGGCAGTGTCTGTCATTGGAAGGTGTACCTCACAAGTACATAAACCTTGTGAAGGTTCTTTATTGGAACACTACTAGTCGAGTCAAAGCTTATGGCGAACTGTGGCGAACATTGCCCAAAATACTAACCTGATTTGGATAAATAAGCTCCTACTTGTCAAATAGTTTGTCCTCTGCCACAGTAGGTTGTTGCTGATAGTGTCTAGTCAACGGATCCGAAGTATTTTGCATAGGCAACTATAAATAAACGCTTTTATCTTCTTGATGATGACTTACGTAGTTTTCCAAGATTGCGTCCCATACAGTAGAACTGTTTTGACATTCGTACTGAAGATTCTGATATTAAGACAAGTTATGCTGTCCTGCAGAAAAATCCCACCTGGTACATAGCACTTCGAACACTTGCAGTCGAGTCAAAGCTTATGGCGAACTGTCATCTGTATTTGCAACCTCAATTGGTGTCTGTCAAGGCTGTTCACTATCTCCATTTTTGTTCAACTTCATAGACATACTGACGGAAATAACGTTCTCGTCGACTGAATTTTCGGGCATTGATCCCCTTCCAGTAGGTCCACTTATCGACCTAGAATACACAAATGACATAGTTCTATTTGGTGAAGACGCTGATAAAATGAAGTCTTTTGGTAACACTGAGCAACAATGCTAGGACGTTTAAAATGCATTTTTCCTTCTCGAAATGCAACTTGTTGCTTCAAGACTGGTCTGCATCAACACCTGGACTTAGGATAGGGAGTGGAGTAGTCGGACGCGTCGACAACTTTACTTATCTTGGAAGTCTGGTCATCCCTAATCGGTTGGTATCTGACAAAATCTCTGCACGTACTCAACAGACTCTTGTGGCTTTTGCTAACCTACGTCACTTATGGCAAAGGTGAGATATCCGTCTATCAATTAAGGGACGAGTATACTGCGCGGCAGTTCGTTCTATTCTACTTTACGGCTGCGAAACATGACCATTAAGGGTAGAGGATACTCTTAGGTTAATTGTTTGCAATGGCGCAGGTGCATCCATTCTTTGTGTTCTCCCAAATTCTGATCTTCTGAATTCTTCATGTCCCTTTTTTTATCTTCCCAAATTTGTTTCACTGGTTTATACTCCTTGAATAACATCTTTAAACCCTAATCTTTCCGATTACTAATTATACTCTTACTGCCTGTACCACAATGAGATTTGAATCGACAATTGTATCTCTGTGCGAATGTGGTATGGCAACTTGGACTGATGCATATATGTGCCTGTTCCTACGTTGTAGCTGACTGACTGGTATGGCAACTCGAACTGATGTACGTACGTACGAAGTTCTACATTACTGATGACTGACTGACTAAGTTACTAGTATTTGATCACAGATGTCTTAGAAATATTGCTCTCATCTGCTGGGATCACAGGGTAAGTAATAGTGAGGTTCAGATGCAGGGTATTAGGGAATGATGGTAAGTCGGTTGATGAGGTCGTGAGTCTACATCAACTGAGATGGTTGGGCCATGTGTTGCGTATGCCTGAACACCGATTACCACGGCGCACAATGCTGACTAGTGTTGGGGATGGATGGGAGAAAGTTGGGAGAGGTCAAACCAAAAAGTGGCATCAGTCCATAAAGTCACTATTTTCTGGTCTGAGCCATGTTGGTAGATGCACACTACTTGGTTAGGGTCCATGCGACTGTCGTACTTAATGGTTGGAGACTAGACGACATGGCTCAGAACCAATCACAATGGCGTAGGTGTATACACTCTTCGTCTTCCCTTAAACAGTGAGATTAAAATTACTTTATACCTTTATTTCTACAAGTTAATTCTTTCTTCTTGTATTATATCCTTATATGCAATCTTTCTTCCATATATTAATACCATTGAAGTAACTACTTCTATGAATTTGATGTGCTAATGAGGTATGGCATATATTTGCCATTATTTTGTTTGACACATCCGAATCGTAGCCCAGTACTAAATGTTGTACTCGTTTATTAAATTACTTCTTGGACCGGTGCATGTATGTGCGTGGTCCTACTTTGTAACTGACTGACTGACTGAAATCGCATTTACTCTGTTTAAAATAAAAGCCTGAATCAATACCAAATGGTTGGATAAAAATTCCCAGCTAAAATAATGACGAATGCTGATGATATATATGACTGCGTAAAAATATTAAATTCACATTGCTTAGACTGCTTTACATCCAATAACTAATGATGCGTTATATCACTCGATTACATTCGATCATATCGCCTCATTTCTCAACGGGTCAAATCAATAAAAACAGATATTAAAACGTTTTAACAAATCATAATTAGGCTGTATGTAGGTAGATTTAAAGGATAGATATCATACAATGCAAGACAAGTTTTTTTCAAGCAGACAAAAAGATCATTCATCAATAGTTGCTTTTATTCTGGTGCAAACACCAAGCTAACACTTGTAATCGTATTATCTTCTAGTAACCCACCCTAGTTGCTATAATCGATTGTAATTCAGCAATCGGTTTTTTAAAAGAACGGAGTAGTTGGTTGTTATTAAAATTTCATTAATTAACCGACAGATAATTTCTCCTACTTTGTTCTACCCCAAGTCTACTAATAGTTCTTTCTGTGAACTGAATTGATGTAAAAGCTTGTATTCGTTCTACTTTGGACACATTTCAAAAGATAATGTTATGACAAATTCAGTCGAAGTAGTTAGGTACGTAGTACAAATGTGTATTCATGTGCTGAGATACCGTTGACCTTTGATACATTTCATTGAAATGTTATTCGAATATTTCTCGACAATTTCCTAATTTTGTATTTCTCTTTGGTGTTTTCATCAACAGGTATAACTCCTCTATTAAACTTTGTTCAGATGTCAACGGTTGAACTAAAATTATCCAAGTTAGATCAACGACTGAAGTTGGCTGTCAGCGAACGACGTTTCTATGAGGCTCATCAACTATACAAGACCATACATTTCCGTTGTATTATGCGGAAAAATTATCAGGAAGCATTAAAATATTTGAAACTAGGTTCTGAGTTTTTACTTGATAATGAACAATGGGAAAGTGGTACTGAGTTAGCTTGCCTTGTACTTGAAGTGTATAGCCAGAGTGAAACAGTTTTGACTGAATCTCATCTAGATGAAATTTGTGAACTTTTGATACGAATGTGTCCTGGTGAAGAAAGGACACGTTTTGTCCACAAGACACTTCAACTTCTACAGAAGCAAAAAGATCTTCTGGCTGTGTTCAATGGATATCTCGCTCGTGTATTGTGGCAAGAAGGATCTTTCAGTGAAGCAAGGTTGCGTATCATGTTATCTTCTAATGGCTATGCGGCTGGTGTCTTCCTTGTTGCTTTGCATCAGCGATACGGGCTTCGATCAGAAATCGATTTATTTATTGCACAAGCTGTCCTTCAGTTTTTATGTATGAAGCAAATCTCAGTTGCCATATTAACGTTTTACACATATACACGACGTCACCCTCGTTTAGAGCCTGGGCCACCGTTTGCAGATTTTCCTTTATTAAATTTCCTATGGTTTCTGATGTTAGCCATTGAAAAGAAGTGCAGTCTAGCTGTATTTTCAGTACTATGTGAAAAATACAGTCCCCAACTGAACAGAGACTCTTCTTATTTAAAATACTTGGATAAAATCGGCCAATTATACTTTGGTGTTAAACCTCCTGCAAATGAAATGAATAATTTTTTTTCACGGATAATGCAAATGTTTAATGATGGAGACAAAATGGAGGATTCTGTGTCAAGTGATGACTTAGGTCGTTGTGCGCTGAATGGGAGTACCGATGTAAATTCACCAGAGGAAATGTGTTTTGAAGATGTGGATTAATGATTTCGCATATATCTCCACCAACTATACAGTGCCTTTCGATTTAGAGCTGGTAGTATGCACATACTCATCTTTATAGGCGGACTACAAATACCTACCCACGTAACCGACATTTGAATTCTGAGCGTTTTTGGACAATAATTTTGTCTTGCAGTTATGCTTTGTGGATCTGTTTTCCTCATGCATCTTCTAACAAATATTTATTCATTGGATGATTTTACTGTCGGTTTCTTTCTTTTTTTCCTGCTATAAACTTCTTGAAAATGCACAAAATTGTTAATATTGAAATAAATTAAATTGTGTACAGATTCTGTTCTAAATTTTTCAGTTTTGGTTGTTCATGCTGTGTAGCGTCTTTTTGATTATATCACGGATTGTCTTGTTAATTTGACACGTTTTTTTGACAGCCTTGGTTCAAAAGGGATATCTTGAACTGATACACTTGTTTGAGATTCTTTGCTGTGGCTCTCTGTTACGGTTAGAATTGTAGTTATAACCTTGAAAGCTCTTAATTCTTTACCAGATAAATGTAAAATTATTTGTGATACACTAATAAATAACTGATAAACGAAGATAAATAGAGATCAGGTGTTGAAGTTTTCACTGTACAAAGAACAAAAGGAATTATATAAGTACTGTAAGTTGACCTAGAGTAATAATACTGAGGTCGTTTACAACTTACCTGATGCCACAAGATTAATACAATGTATACTAGAGTTAGTTACACGCGTATCGATTGCAATTTACATTATCCATCAGCTTACGTTAATCTGCCTGATTAAAACGGTAACCTAAGCAATTCTGCAACCTGTAATCGAAACGGTGCGATGAACTTTTAGATCAAGCAGTTCAGTTTCCCGATTTTTTTATAAGGCCCGCGCTCAAATGCATCTTGATGTCAGCCAGTGCCGGGTACTCGTCTACTAACTACTGTGGGCCTTTTAATTCCTTAGTATTTGAATAGAAAATTTTAAAATTTTTCATTCACTCTTTTGCAGTCTTAATATAAACCAAATTATTTAGCATTTAATGTTTACTTAAGCCTACTGCGCAAGCCATTACAATATAGTGTTACATTTGACCTTATTCTAAGTATGATAAGTTGTAGTTTATTGATAACTTAAGAATCTACCGAATTACCTATTTTCTTTGAGTCAATATGCTCTAGTTTTCAATATTTTCACAGTGCTCATTCGATCCAAACCTAAATAATTACACCAGTTACCCCTCTTGCCGTAGCACCATTCAGGAGTCTCTAACAATCTCCATTCTAGACTCTTCTTCCCAGTTGTTATCAAGTGTTATTCACGGCATTAGTGTTGGCCTCAGATTCTCAAAACCAAAACAACCTTCACTCTTTTGTTTACTTATGTGTATTCAGCCTGTGCCTGCTTTTCGTCGGTTTATTCTGACTGCTGTCTTGTTTCATTTCCTTGAATCGTGACCAAACTATCTACTGTGATTTGTTCTTCATTCTGGTGCCTATTGGGGCCCGAAACACACTGGAATTTCGAAGTTATTGCTCGTTTAAGCCTTTTCGAGTTGCTCTCTGTGGGGATTTTCTCTACTAGTAGGTCTTGTAACAATTAGAACTTGTTGCTGAGATCTATATTGGACTGACTGAGTTTGTTAGCATTTTGAAGGAAGGCGGTATTAAAATTTTCCGGTGTTGCTTGCTCATTTGTCCAATACGCCTTTGGCTTATGTTCCAGTTTGTCTATTACCATGTGGTGATATAAAGTTATATCAGCTTCTCTCTTTATCCCTACTTCTTCGGTTGAGCTTCCGAATTTTTTGTTCACGCAGATGTGCTCGATCTGGTTTTCTGTAACGTGTTCAGGTGAAACATATGTAGCTTTATGTGTCCGTTTGCGGGTAAAATGCTGCCTTCTATGACCATGTTGAGAGCACATAAATCCCACTTCATTCCTCTGATTGTCTATCCCGGCCAACGAGTTTATCAGATAGATATACGTTTTCAAAATTCATCCTCGTATTTGACCTATTTTATTCCGTTATTCCCTGATACGAATTAAATCGACTATTATAAATGAGAGTGGATGGCGTGTTTATTTCGTTGACATCATCATTCTATCAAATCGAAGTCCGTTCAACGTGCCACTAAACTGTTATTGGTTGGTGCGTAGCACTTGACGACATTCGTCGTAATCCTTCCCCTCTTTAGTTCAACGGATGCTTTGGTGATCCTAGAGCCGTGAGTTTTCAACCAATCCAGTCAGCAATTCCCATGCTTCTTTGGACAGCGTCAGAACAATTTCATGCGTGTGTGGGTATTTTCTTCCTCATGTTTAGAATATAACATCTGTCCTGGAGTTGGTTTGTTTTGCTCCGATTGTGTTCGTTGGGAATCACCTATCCCAATAAAGATCAGGTTGTATCTTCTCACTTCTGCCACCATTTGAATGGTCCTCTTAGCCTCTCACTTTGTCCAGACATTCCGTGTCCCTATATTAATTGTTATTCTGGTCGTCAGAAGGAACACCGTTTCCATGGCCTTCAAAGAATCTCGGGATTTTTCCTGAAGCTTCATAACTCTTCTATATCAATATCCTTCAACTACTAGTGGGGAGTGTGAGTTAGTTGGTTGAGTCTGGTTAGCGTTTTTCCAACGACTTTGTATTTAGTGAGGTGGGTTTGGTGGGCACATACCCAACCCTTCTCCTTTATCCGGCTTTAAGGACTTGGAATAACCCTTATGACCTTCAGACTACTTGTGTTCGACTCAGTCTTTTACTATTTTGAAAGACTGCTATATGTTTCCGAATGTTGTTTAGTTTAATCTACAGTTCTTGCTTATTTTTGCATTGCATGACTGGCCGTATGTATAAGGTGTTCGTATAAATTTTATTGATTACCTTCAGTTCCTATTCACCTTAAAAATTCCATCTTTGTTTATAATATCAGTATCTCGACTAGGACGAAGTGGGTTACTGCTCATGATCCTGTGCATACACCATAGTTGATTTTTTGAGTTGAATGATTTCAGTAAGTTTAAATATTTAAGTAAATCACGTATGTATCACAAAATCCGTAGTTTAACCAGAATGTTGATTTGTTTCCAACACATAGGTATATATTTAAGGTTGAATTGTTGCTGAATAGTTTAAGCACTCATGAGTTAGTTTATAGTTTCGTATCTTTCTGTACATACTTTGTACAAATCTGCTGTGTAGTACAAATAGCTTTTAAAGTGTAGTTGATTCACGACTAAGTTGCGTAACGATATGTTTTCAGGGTTCCCCCCTCTAAACTTGGTTATGTCGTATTAAATGTCAATGTGCACATGTTTGTTTCAAAGAGGATGCCTTTGATAACTAGAGGGTTGTAAGTTTGTGTGTAATTAGTTGAATATATATAACTCAGGTCCGGTTTCTTATTTCTATTTTAGAAGAGAAATGTACTGATACTCATTATTACCAAATAAAAATGTCGAATAGTGCTTTTGGACCGGTTTTAAGTTCAGGGACTGCTCCTAATTTAGGCAGTGTTCCATCTGCTAAAGAAGAGCATGCCTTAGGCTTAAAAGCTATTTATGCAGCTTGTCGACTGTTGTATCCTGATCAACCTACTCCACTGCAAGTAACAGCTGTTCGAAAGTTCTGGATGGGTGGACCAGATCCTTTGGATTTTATCAATATGTATGCAAATCCAGGATCAGCTGAACTGCAAAGCCCTCCTCACTGGCATTACGTAACTAATGGTTTATCAGATTTGTATGGTGACTCGAGGTTGCATGGGTGAGTTTATTAGTACTTTTTTGCTTCGTTTATTTCTTTGCGAGTTTCAAAGAAACATGTTCTTCATCATAACTGACAATAGTACTGGTGATTCTGACTGAAGTTTATTCTGCTGCACTGGCGGCGTATCTAGGTTAGAGAACCGGGACTCCGACTCTTTGGTTTTCATGGAAATAGTAACCGTATAGCAGTATTATAGTTTACCATCTGTAAGACTCATTTAATTATGGTTATCATTATTACGTAACCAACATAACACACTGTTGTGGAATGATTTTTGAACTAAAAATTGTTTAAAAGTGTAGATGCTTAGATCAGAACACTACAAAAGAGTATGACGTAAGTGAATTGTTGTACTTATTTACCTATTATTGCCACAACTTACATACTCTGCTACTTGATATCATTTATTGACTTTCAATAGGGGAAGTTAGCTTTAAGTAATGATAGAATAAAATTGTGCAAAGGTACGTAATACAAATGAACTTTTGGTGGTTTATTGGGATATATCTCATGATCTTCCAGTAACAAGTTTAGTTCCATCATCTAGCAATACATTAATTACCAGGAGATATCAAAGAATCAACTCTAAGTTTATTGATACCAGGAATTTTTCCATATGACTGATTCATTTTTTCCAATAAATTCTAATTAGCTATGAATGTTATAAATTGTCAGGTAGTGTTCCGTCATGAATCAGTCGTAGTAAGAGAAACATTAAAAACTCAGAAGTATTCTAAAGATCTAGTCCTTTCAACTTTCCAGTGATCTACACTACCCACTCTCTTTGTAATAGATGTAAAGCTCACATTTTTTGTGACAAACGTTAAAATCAATGAGTCAATTCGTCAGTACTGACCTGTATCAGTAGTTTTCAGGCAAAGAGCTTCCATAAGGTGTATTTACCTCTTTAAACTCATTGAGACATTAAAATGGTTCCAGTGTGATATAGAATTTGATTACTGGTATATATGGTATTTTAATCCACTAGTTTTATTGTGCTTATGTAAATATCAGAACAATTGATTACTCAAAATAACGTCAGAAATTTAGGTTGGTCGTCGTCGAACAAGTCACTATCAAACTCTGAATATCTATTTCTTAAAAATAATCTGAGGATTATCATACATTTTCAAGTGTTTTCATTGCAACCGCATCTTATATTTTGTCATGTATTAATATGAAAGACATACCACACACCTTGTTTATTTCATTTTGGCGTTCCGTAAACTACCTAGGAATCTGAAACCCGTCAACGTGTAAACAACCATGCTGTCCAATAACCAGTTCACACACATGTTTCAGTTTTTACGTTACATCCAACCGACTGACTGTCCTAATTTCTCCTTTCCACCATAATTTTCCTAGTTTGTGTTTTCTGCATCATAATGTGGAAAAAATTCCATTTTACTTTTCCATAATAAAAGATTTTTGTTTGTTAATTTCTACTATATATATATATATGAATTGTAGCCATTGTCATTCAACTGACGGTCCAAGTGGTTTCGGTTTCGAGTTAACATTTCGAGTGAAACGTGAAGCAGGTGAAACAAATCCACCAACATGGCCAGCGCATTTACTACAAAGCTTAGCACGTTATGTTTTCTATTCACAAGCTCAGTTAATGGCAGGCGATCATATTCCATGGCCTACGTCTTTAGATAAACAGCCTAATTTTTCATCTCAACAGTCGGAAAAACGACGACGGCATCATCACCACCACCAGCAACAACAGACGGATAAAGAAACAAATGTGAAAGAGTTGGAAAATGCAAGAAAATCCATTGCAATGGCGGCTGCAGCAACTGCGGCTTCCATATTAGCTGCAAACAGTGCTAAAACAGGTATGGGATCTTCATCGGCTGCTTTATCCGCATTAACCAATCCTTCGACTTATGCATCCATGGTCGCAGCTGCTCTAGCCGCTGTCAATAATAACAACTCGAATGATCCAGTTGGCCAGAATGAAACTAAGGATAAACTAACAGCTAATTCAACAAATTCTTCACGTATTCATCATATGCTACTGGTAGAAGATCCTCAACTGAAGAAAATCACTACACCATATGGTTATGTTCAATTTTTACAGGTTATTACTTTTCTTTGTAATTCTTATGAATTTTACTTTCTAATAATAGTAGCGCAAATGTATACTAGAATAAGTGAAAATTCGGCTAAAAATAGTACAATTGTCGAACGACTAAAGGAGTAGATGGTCTTAAGTAGCATTATTGGATTTTACAAAACGAATAATGTTAAAGTGTGTAAAGTAATTAGTTTTCTATAACATATGTTTGTATAAATACTTTCCCATTTTTTGTACACCATGAGTTTAACCACTTTTAAATTGATCATTATTCTATTTTTACTGGTGTAAGGTAGGGTGTATTTGAGAGAGGGGATTCTGCTCATAAGATTCGTACGCTCATCGCCTTGTTTCACGGTTTAGGACGTTACCATTTAACTAATCATGTTGCAAATAAAATCTTTATTTTCACATTATTGTATTTGGTAGAAATTTAGTAAGTTTAGTCTTTTAACGAATTTCTTTTTAGCTATTTTTAACCTTTAGTCTTAAACTTCAATGTTGTTATTCTCAATAAATTTGATGAAATGCAATTAGACAGTATGAAATTATGATATAGAAGCACAAAAGTATCCAGTTGATAACTACCTTTATCCATTCATTACAAAATTAACCGTAGGACTCACTTTTATTTTCCGAATTCTCAAACATTTTTAAATATAAAGATCATAGTCGACTGTATTTCTTAAAAAAGAATTCCACATATTCAGCGACACTTTGTATTGATTTGATTTCTCATTAAACGAGACTGGGTCCAAGGTCATCCGTGTTTTTATCACCATTCCCTTCTACGGAACAACCACAGACAATTTCTGTGTACGTGAACTGCAACTGATTATGATAATTACTATAAATATATTTACATGCTAGACCAAATTTATTTGTTGGTCCTTTTTAATAAATTGTATTCGTTTCATAAATTTTAAACTTTCGACAGCAGTATACGTAATTCTGTTTGTGTGACCGTTTAGAATTGATACCCACCTTCATTTTATGTCAGGTAGGTAGGTTAGTCGAGGTGTGGTATATTATGAATTATTATTGTTATTCAGTATACAGAAACACTGACTGAAAAAAAAACAAAATTGAAATCTACCATGTATGGGTATATGGTTGATTGTTTCTGTGTATAGATTTTAAGTCATGAACATCACATTAAAGATAAAATTATCTCTTGAATGATCAGATTTCAGTTCGTTTTCAACATGGTCTGATGAATAATAAATAAAGGTGGTCTTTTTATAATCATAAATATATTTCAACAAACGAATCAACATGTTTTGAAACTCAGCAGTACATATCCACACGTTATACAGTAATTAATTTAGTCACGCGGTAAGCGCTATACCATTCAGTCAGTCATACAATATCAAGTAAATAAATCAGGCTACGAGAGGAAAGTGAATCTGTCCTCATTATTAACTTCCATCAAGATGGATAGTCGCACTGTATCTCGGAAATAAACTGAAGTTGGAAAAATAATTGAGTGAATTTCAATATAGTATCTAGGTAGTGAAATGATCTTTACGACTGACATTTTGTGATTTCTGTAAGGACTAAATAAACTAGGAGGATTGAATTTTGTTTGGTCAAAACAACCAAATGCCTATTATAGGCCTTTGTCAGTTAAAGTACAGAATTTTAACTTGACTTTGTCTAGGAGTCCGAAAATATTCACTATTCGATCAGCAACGTATAATACAAATTGTCAGTCTAAAAAGTCTATATGAAATATTACTGTATAAACTTGGTCTAAGCTAAGTTAGTATGATAAATAAATTATGTCACTATCTATTCCGCTAAAACAATTAATTTGAATGGTAACACAATCTAAATTTCTTGGTACATATAATTTGACATCCAGTTAGTGGATAGCTTAACTTCTACCAAGCAAAACGGTGAATTAATTGTTAAACCCCGATTTTCGAATATCTGCTTGCGGGTTTGAATCCCACACTACCGGTTTCAGTAATTTATGACTCACTTGACTGCATAAACCTAAACGTATTTTAATATTATCACTATGATTTGATTAAAATTATTGTTAATAGTCTTCTTAATATTTATCTATCTATATCTATCTACCTACCTACTTATCTATATTTATAAAATGACTGCGTGAAGCATGTCATGACTGGTTCATTTTTTTCACATATACACTAGTGAATAATGACTTCCGTTACCTACATCTAACTCCATAACGATCATTTGGTGGTCCCTTGAAATCTAATTGGTTTAGTGGTCGTTAATTAGTTATAATCCTCTAGTGTTGTGTTTTGTCTTAAAGTCGTCAGTATAATAACAAAAATGACATATTAGTTCATTGGAGGCTCTCTGAATTCGTAAATATCTTTCAGAAAACACTTTGGACAGTATGCAATATGATTATTTTGAAATGCACATTATTTAAAATAATAGATGGTCAACTAGTTGTTTATTTCAACACAGTATTTTTGACATTTTCTGATAGTAATCCAAACAATTAACCTGTCAAGCTATCATCTAGATCGCTTATTCATAAATTACTTTTCACTATCAGTTATGCTTCTTAAGATTAAATTTAAGTTTTATGTTTTTTATTTAGTTGGTTGGTCTTTGCGATGAGGAACTGCGTTTGGTTCAACGTTGGACTGGTTCTCATGTTGCCGAATTAATGAGTTGTTCACTAGAAACTGGTGGTGGTCTTCTTGTCACCGATATGAGAAGAAATTTAAATATTTTTGAAATGCAACCAAATTTAGTGGATTATATCAATGATAAATTAAAACGTGAAGGTTCGAATTTATCTGGTGTCACAATATCCTATTTTGCTTGGGCACCTATAACTATGGTCACTTTAGGTGAGCTACTACCAGGTGAAGTGGAGTCTCGTCGATTGCGTCGTCAAACACAGAAACGTGATTCATCTTCAACTAGTTGTCTGTATTCTAAATCAGAAGTTCAGTCCGGATCCAAGGCTGTATTGTTTCATAACCCTTCAACTGATTATAATACCCACAAATCAGATACTGATATTGGATCTAAAACTGTGGCCATGGACACAGATGATACATTGGTGTCGTTTGCAGTAAAAAAACGAATTGAAGATGATGAATTTATAGATGTTGTTGGCGGTGGTGGTAACGGGGGTGGCGACGAGACATTGCAGAAGTTGACTGCAGAAAGTTACATCAATTCATCTACTAGTGCTTTAGCTTCAGTGTCTGCTGAACCTAATTCACTAAAAATTTCTCGTTTTGATCCAAAATCTCGTGTTTCTTTAAGCAATAGGTTGAGCTCCGGACATTTAACTTCAGATTGTTTTCCGCATTCATTAGGAAATCGAAATGTAATTGATGGACAAACTATCAGTGCACCTGGTGGTTTTTCTGCCTGGTGTAATCGGGTAGGACCTATCAATCAGTTTAACCAATCACCTATGAGTAAGTTAAACTTACCTTGAGTATTATTGTATGTTAATCCACTCAATTCCATTTTGTCTTTCGTTTAGAAAGCTTTTCTGATAAGTTATTATGAATTTATTATTATTATTAATGGCTTTATTCAATATTATATTTTGGTACAATATAGAATTCTCAGCACAGGGTATTTCAACAAGTTACTTACACAGCAACAAAAAAACACAGTAACAAACACAAAAAAATAAAATAAAAAAAGTTTTTTTAAAAAAAAGAATCCGAAAAACTACAACTTTTAAAAGTAAAGACATGTTAAGAATGCAGGTTATTGACTAGGTTAACTCTAACAACCTGTTCATCACAGAGTATATTTGCTAGGTAAGCTATTATAGAACTTTTATACTTTTGCTTGCGTGCATGGATTTTAATGTAATTACGTCTCGTTCTACCAGAAGATATACAAGGAGAAAAGAGTGAAGGGGATGGTTAGTATCTGATTAAATAACACCTGCCAGGAGTTTGCATGACTTTAGATGTCTATCCACAACCATTTTAATTATGACCTCGAAAGATTCACCACACAACTTGCTAACTACCTTCACCACTCCGCAATACAGCAAAGTCTTTTCTCAAAAGCCCGGGAAAGAATAATGGAGAACAGTAAAGCATAATAATAGGTAATATGCAAGAATTGACAAATTGTAAGAGTAAATGACGAGTAATCCCAAGAGCATGCAATCTCTTTATGTAGTAGGTCAGATGGAAAACCTTCTTTGATAACAATAAAACGTGGGAAGACCAAGACAGATCAGAGGAAAAGGTGACACCAAGATAATTGACCTTCGACACTGAGTTTATCAAAGAGTCTCCGCTGGTACAAGCATTATGGGATCTCAAAATGGTGTTTAGATTCCGTTCATGTCTCATACTAAAGTTAAAAGCTTGACATTTAGATGGATTAAGTATGAGACCATTACCAACAGGCCAACAATCAATACGAGACAAAAACTCATTCATTTCTATGGGATGTAAAGAGGAAGAGATAGGTATACATACAGTAAGATCATCCGCATATTTCAAAAAAGTGTTTTCTGTGGAAGATGGCAGATCATGCAGAAAAAAAGAGAAAAGAAGAGGTGAAAGAACAGCTCCTTGTGGTACACCTTCATGAGACAGCAGAGACCCTGAACACTTTCCTCCAAACACAATGTACTGTTCCCCTCCAGAGAGGTTGGAACATAGCCAGTTCCATTCAGTTGATTGTTTAACAATCATCCTCATTATCGTATTTTGGTCGGTGTACGATCAGTCGTTATGAAGTCTAGCTTGTTAATATCGAAGTTGAACGTCTACTGAATTTTTCGTTTGGTTGATTAACACTGTTGAAAGCTTCGCATAGTACCAATAGCAACGTAATGCCTTTGTATTCCTCACATTTAATAAGATTTTTTTGATATCTTGGTGAAGTATCTCATTCCATTCTCTTTTGTCTTTTCGTCCCAAGCCTTTTTAAATAGAAAAAGTCATTTTTACAGTTACCTCCATATATTACTTCGGTGGTTCAGCTAGTGTTCTATCTTGTCCTGCTTCTTTGCCATTCTTGATTTGTCTGATAATCGTATTAATTTCTATTGATGATGGAGTATCATCCATAGGGGTTTTGCTCTGAAACGGCAGTAATCCTAAAGGGTTCCAGACGGCGTTAAGATGAATTCTATAATGGTTGGAATGATATCAATTTCAGTTGTTGTTGAAAGCTTTGTTATTAGGCAATGTAATTCGACAAGAAAAAAAATTTGAGGAGCAAAAAGGTATAAGATTATTTTAAAATTTGAACTCTAACGGGAACAATGTAAATGCACCTGAACCTTTGTGTTTAGTTCTTAGCCATTCCTATAAAAAAAGAGAATTCCACGAAGAGAATTTTCTTTTCGACGAAACCATTTACTTAAGCTGTACTTCTGTATAACCATTACGATAATCGCGCGGATCGTAATCCATTGCGTTACACCCATCAACACGCCTTAGTTTAACAGTCAATTAGGGTTCATTACTTGATTACAGTCTCAAACCTCACTCCATCTTTTTCGATTTAGTTTACTTAACAGTATCTCTATTTCTTAGACAAAAGTTTGGCTTAAGACCATATGCATAAATGAATTAATGGTTGGTAAATAAATTTCATTGAGTTATTCTCATTGAATAACAAATAAATAAATCATTAGGTATCAGCCGGAAACAGGACCTTCTGTCTCTCACGAACGCCTAACTTCTATACCACAGTCGAAATCCAACGGTTTTAATATCTAACATCAACCAACACCACTGTATGCGGGCTCGGTTTTCTAAAGGCTAGGCGTTCCTGTGAGCCCGAAGATTATGGGTTCAAGGCTTGCGTGCGGGATTGTCGGTGCGCATTGTTAAGGAGTCTCATACTTGGATGAAACGGGCGTTCAGTGTTTCCAGATTTTCAGTAGTGGTCTGACATTGATCCGTTCATGATTTCATTTAAAATCATTAGGTGTTACATGTAATTAGTCAACAATATCCAGAATCACTTATTAGTACACTGTTCATTGTAGACATGTTTTACATATTCACGTTTCAAAGAGTTGTTCACATTTGTGTACTTTATATGAACTTTTTGTTTTTAGTTAGATGCATAACCTGGATATTTTTAATATTATCTACCTAGGTATATTATCATAGCTATATATATATATATATATATATATATATAGCCGAAAAGTAATTCACAGTTGTCTTCTTTGATTATGTACCAGCAGATATCAACTACCTGCGTCCATATTAGGACTTGCTTAAACATTTTCCATAATCACATATTATTTAATTAAGTTTTCTATAGAAAAATGTGAAGTGCAGAAATACAAACAGGAAACTCAAGATTTATGCAGAGATTTTGTCTTATTTATTCACTCTTAGTTTTAATTCATTCATTTTTTCAACTTTACGTAGGTCGTCAAAGCATAAACAAAGTCGGCGCTAATACTTCATCTACAGGTGGTGGAATATTCAGAAGTACTTTGGTCAATTCACCTACAGAACTGACTAATGTAGTTGGCGGCGCGCTTGGTTTTCGAACATTCAACTCAGAACTACCAATATCCAATATGATTACAGATAAATTTATAGATACTAGTATTGAACCTAAAGGTGGGAATCTTACACCTGGTGGTGGTGGTAGTAGTAGTACTACTGGTGATGGTTCTGCACCATGTACACCTTTAGCACATTTATCACTTTCTCCGGCAAGTTTGGATATGATGCCAACACGGATTATCGATTATTTAGATGTGCATTTATGTCGTGAAGCTGGTGAAATGCTTCCTTTAGCAGTGAATGATCGACTACGTCATGGAAGACATTTTACATTTTTAAATGCAAATTATCCAGATCATGCTATTACGTTAGTGCCATCTGGTGTTTCTGGAGCTTTTGTTACAGAAGAAACACCCTATGTTGCCCGTGGACCATGGTTACAAGTAAGAGAAATTTTAAATGAATTGTTTATAAAATAAGTAGTTATTCTTAAGAATTAATGCAATAAGTGAAGTGTATTAACTTACAAGAAGTTATAATCCCGTAGTTGGTTATAACTTACTGATCTGTAATCATTTCTTCAAATCCCCCTCTGGAGTTGCCACTTTTTAAGTGTTGGGTAGTCTAGTCATCTTCCCTTTCATGTAATTCGTTGAGAAACAGGCATTCATGAATTCTATATTTTGTTCTGGTGTAAGAAGTTCTCAGCAAAAGATATCCTGTATCATTATACGTAGTAATCAGCTTCAAACAATCGTTGAATGATAACTAGATTTTACAAGACAATTAACTTCCAATTATCAAGTTATACGTATTCGACTTGTGTTCTATCAGTTTTAATAATTTATTAAACAGACGAGTTATTTTAATCCATAAACAAACCGCATTTATTTGATCTGGAAAATAACTGGGTTTTTTGCTTCTGAGAAACTTTATACTGGAATATGACGAGCCGCCTTGATCACTCTTATTTTCTTTTTAATTTCTTCTTTTATCAATGTTATGTTATTTTGGTTTTTAATAATACTGATATCAAATTGTATTTTTATTCTTTATTTGTTATTTTTTTTGTTGAAATTTATCTAGATCTTATTGACAGACGATTTTCTGGAACAGTTGGAATTTCAATTTTCATGTTTATTATACCCTAATGAATTGCATTTGCCGTTAGTTTTTCGTTGGCCAGAAAGACATTTACGTATATGCTTGGTTGATGTCAGTTCATCATCATCATTGTCATCATCACCACCACCACCATCATCAAACGGAGGCTTACCATCAATACCTCTCCCGCATTCACAGACAGCATCTGTAACAAACCCGGTGTCTTTAATAAACGATACTAATAACAATATTGGCAATAATAGTGTCGACAATAGCAACACTTCAGATACATCGAATATTTCAAAACTTATGGGTACTCCTACTACTTCTAGCATTCATTGTAATTGGAATACATCAGTGGTAGATAATAGATTGATATCTGGTAATAACAGTGGTAGTGTTGGGAGTACTCTACAGTCCTCAGTCATTCCGAGTGCATTTGCTAAATCTGATTTACTTCCTTCATTCTTATCATTATTCCCACCGGGATGTATACCACCGCCAAATGTTTTATCATCGTTGTTCAGTGCCATGGCTACAAATAATTCTAGTAGCACTAGTGACAATATTAATACTACCAATAATGATCAATCTCAAACAGAATTATTCAGAAAATCATTTCTCCCAATAAATCAGACTGTTACACCAGTGCCTATATTTCAAACATCGTCGTCATCATCTACATCATTAATCCAACCATCCGCATCAACGTTGCCGAATTCATCTCATATACACCACCATCAAATCACTCAGCAACAACAAGTACGGCAAGAACATCAACCAAGTACAACATCTCTTCCTACTGAATTAAAAGTTGATAGCCTGATTGATCCTAATGTATTTGCTAATAACTGGTCAATGTTTTTGCAAACATTAATGCGTAACAGTAACATTAATACTAATAATACGGATTCATTAAGACAAATAATATCTGGTAGTCAGAATAACAGCGTTGCTACTACTAATATCAGTAGTACTAATCCAACCGCTTATTTCATGGAGTTTTTGCAAAATTTTCCTTTCAATAATAGTAATAATAATTGTATGAATATGTTGTCTGCTTTAACTTCGTCAACAGCACCCACAGCATCAGTATCATCGTCATCATCATCAATGAAGCATTTTTAAATTTTGTTTTCTCATATGTTTTTAAAGCGTACTGACCTATTGATACTCTTATGAAGTATACATTAAAATAGCATATGTGTATTCTTTCATTAAAAATTTATTCTAAGGTTATATTTTTTTCTGCATATTTCCTACATTTCCTTATTTTCTTTCTTTCTTTTTCAAACATCAATTTCCTCTTATTCCATCATTAATATGTTTACATGCAGTGTTCTCTCGTAAAACAATCAACAACAAATGCGGTATTCTAGTTAGAATGCAAAGAAATAAAACCATGTTTTATCTTTCGTTCGCACAGTTTTTGGCGCCAAGTAATCGTATCATTGTGTGTGTGTGTGTGTGTACTTTCAACAATCAAATCAATGATAATATTATTATTTTCACATGACCAATTTCTTGTTCTCATGCAATTCATTAACATAATGTGTATATTAACGAGTAGTAAATAATTCCTTCAACAATTATTTTGAATGTTTCAATTGAATTATTTCATGTTTTTTTATTATTTCATTTAAAAGGAAAGCGCCAAATAAGCACACAACCTACTAATGATTTATTTGGACAAGAACCTTTTTTTCCCTTCTTTTTTAATATCTCAAATATACATTTATCTGTTATGGTAGGTTAAAGAAGCGCCATCTATTTATTTAGGGTTATTTCTCCCCCCTTTTTGTTTTTACTTCATTTTACCCGGTCACTTATATAGGAGATAGTATGAAAGTGTTTTCATTGGAACCTTCTCAATATAGTACATTGATTTGACTCATTCTAACTTCTTTATTATTTGCATTTGTTCTTTTTCATTCACTATCGATATTGTTCACATTCGGATTTATTCTCCAGTAGAAATTTGTTAGATTTAATTGATTTTAGGGGTTAACATACATTGATTTGTGTACCCGTCTGTTATTACCGATGATTGACATTCATTGTACTGTTATAGTTTGAAATAATAATTCACTTTCTTAAAATTATAAAATGTATGTATGTTTTCGTTTCATGCGCATTTTTCTTCGATAATACTTTCGTTGTGGACGGAATTAATTTTCATCACTTTTTGTTTTTATTATTTTACACTTACTGAGATGAGATAGTCATAATGATGAGGTTTAGAATTGAAAGGAGATAAAAGAATGAAGTTTGATTTTTGTTTTTCTACATCATATTTTTTATCAGACTATTGAAAATATATAAGTATTATATGTAACCTTTTCATCATTAGTATTTTTTAAAAAAAAATTTCATCTTTACCATGCTGCTTAATTTGTGTTGGATTGCGTCTTTTTTTACCCTCCAGTTTAATTAAAGGCATGAAATCTATGAATATTTCCAAAGAAGAAAAGTATTCTGTGAATATTGAAAAGTATACTAGTTTTAAATGTTTATTGGTTTTTAAATTCATTACACGGAAAATCGATGTCAGACGAAAACATCCAAGAATATGACTATTCATAAGCTTGTCAATTGATGTGTTACAATCGACGTATAGAATGTAAATAGTTTGAAAATCCCTTAACTCATCATATGCGAATGGTGGCAATGAATCTTTGTTCTGTTGAAGGAGACGGTTTTTCAATTCATATTTCTTTTTTAATCCTTTAAGAGTCAGACAAATCGAAAATTAGGCATATTTTTCATAATGTAGTTAACGAACTCATCTCGTTAATCAAAATATCTATTCATATTTTCAGTGTGATGATTAGCAATATTCCCCAACTTACAGAACGAAAGTAGTTTGAATAGGTATAATCCTGTAACCAAATAGTTGGAAGTGGAATGTTCTGTACTTGTCTGCACTAATAAATATACAAACATAACTTACTATAACTTGGTGCACTTATCGTACGTATAATTACAGTACTTCCTTTCATTAGCGAACTAGGAAGCCTTGAACTATTGTTTCGTCCTAGATTGGATATCTTAAGCAATGCGCACCTACTAATTCATACGACATCCATTACCGAAATCATCTGGTTCTCGCGGTAAGCTCATCGAGATTAAATCAATGAGTTTACCCGCATTTATGCGTAATTTAAACATCGGTCAGTTTGTGATATTGAACTGCTAATCCTGCTTTACCATTAAGCCACTGTCTCACTTTTAACACTCGACTTCACAGGTTATGAATTCACTCTTTCTGATGATATTCTTGTTGATGTTGTAAACATTAAGTGAATCATCACAACCGCATAAATATATTAAGAAAATTGCAAATAAATACATCTGTTCATATGAAAATATGACTAAATATTCGCTTATTCCTACACTGACTATACTAATCATTGAGTAATTTAATCCTAAAAGTTGATTGCAGTGGAACAGTCAAGTAATATTCTTCCCGTTTTAAGGAAGCTGTGATTATAACGTTTTAATTCAGTCAAAGGCTCAATCTAGAGCTTAAAGAGATATGTGGCGATTTTCTGCACATTAAATGAGTTGTTTGTTCTACTTAAACTGGAAGGAGGTAATCGTTCACACTATTGCATATGCTGTTTCTGACTACCTTCTAACTGGATATATTGTTAAGCAAACGTCTTGTGGTTTTTCTCCACCAATTAAATAGTTCAAATATCTAAAATAATAGGATCTTGAAGGAATTCCGTGTTTATATAACTTTATACATGAGCCTTGTGAAGATTGTTTACTTTTTTAGTTTACATCTCACACTAATAAACATTGTGAAAAATGGAACATGTACTTCATCCTTACGGTACTTTTCACAATTCAACAATAATATTTGTAATAGTTTTCCTGAAAAATGAGTTTAATAATAAAATTCAGAGGGCTTTTCCCGGAAAGACCATTTAATCCGTAAAATAATATTAATCTCATTGTAACTCAATTTATCTACCAACTATATTTTTGTAAGACTGATGATTCTTTTCATTATTAATGCTGAAGTAAATGGAGTTTTGAACGGAAAACTTAATGCCGTTCGTTGTAAAGTGACTATTTAAACGGTTTAGTTACTGTTATAATCATTCAATATAACGTAACTTGTGTTTCATTAAACATGAATGTTAATGCATTATATTGGGATTGATATGTTTTTTTCCTACGATACTATTTGCTTGCCCAAACCTTAATAAACAGAATATAATGAACATATGTAATCTCTTGATTAGAAATTATGTTTTTGAACAAGTCTTCATTTTATATGAATGGTACGAAACTATATCACTAATTAAACAAGCTGGTTCCAGTTAACTGGTGCGAAATACACTAATATCGTTTAAGGCTTGACATTCATTATTAACTCCAGTTATACACGTTCAAAATAATTTTGATCGGAGTGTTATTCAGACATAATTAACGTAGAATCTGTCACAACTATGAATAACCTCAAGTTTTCAGATCAAATCTTCACGACTAGATAAAATGAACAAGATAAATAACACAGGAGTCGAAATAGTGATTGTATCAGTAATAGTCAGGATAAGTTAGTGTTGAGGAAGTGGAATGTGGCTAGCAGTAGAATCATCATATAGGACGAAACTCGTCCTGGTTCGATTCTATAGTAACATGTGTCATTATTGTCTTTATCGAAATAACCTATATATGATGCATATATGCAAACTGAGACTGTTTGAAATTCAGTCAAAATATCAACAGCGAGATAATTCAATCCATTTGAAATAGATAAAATGGTTTTAAGGGTTATGTATAAAAGAGTATCACTACTCAAGATTTAGCGGAAGATCAAAATGAATCCATAGCATCATTCTTAATCTGTTTTCAGCACTTTCACTTAAAGTTTTCAACCATTATTCACAGTAATAGCACATTCCCCCAATTAGATAGTTTGCACTTACATATTCGCTCAAACCAATGATCATTTATTCTATAAAGTGTTGCTATGATATTCAGTTTACGTTACAGTATCAGTCGTTTCGATATTGAAAACATGTGTTTTCAAATAGGTACCGGTGAAATTAAAACGGCGGTATAATTTATCTTTCTTATTGTTTTAGAAGTTTGAATTAATCTTAAAATTTCTAACTGCACCCCCCATGTTCAGTATCCAATGAATCGTATCTTCAATATCCAAGCGTATTTAATCGATAGTATATACCGCCTGTTGATCTTTTTCTACTCATTTTATTGTTAACTATATCCGTTTGTGTACTTAGTACTAAAGTGATATTTTTATTTAGAATATGTCAGGTGGTTGGAAATAGTTAGCAATCAGGTATGGAATTCAGCTTCATGCTAGTTGACACTCATTAGTTGTATTAAGGTAACTGATACCTTCACTGAGGTTCGAACTTATTTCACATCCAAAGACCTTATCAATCACTTGTAATTAGCCTGCTGTCGAACCGAAATATTTACGCATTAACTAATGTCATGCTTTCTAATCCAATTGTTATGAATAAAGACATCAATCGATATCAAGTGGCATACTCACTAACCAGAATTCCGATTATATTTTTTTCTATATTACGTGTACTGTTCTTTCTATAGTTAAGAGTCTTAGACTTGACCAGTTATACGTTCTAATCTGTATAGATAGTCTTGAGCCAACGTAAGCTGTGCTTTTACTGATCTGCTATCCTCAGGTTTCTCTCTATTCCATGCCTTGAGTTCTAAGAGAAGTCGGCAGGCATTAAGGATAGTAGAATGTCTAACGACAGTTATTAGATCTGCTGGGAGCTTACAATAAGGAGAATATAGATATATATAAAAATATAGTTGCCAATTAATTATACAGTAAAAATATAACAATAATATTCAAGAAAATATTTACGAAAGCTTCAAATTTCCAGGACTCATTATGACACAAATTTACCATGAAAGTCATAATGTAACTTATAGAGTTTGTATTCAACGGATTACATTTTTTATCCAGTTTCTTATAATCTTCAATGGTGTCCAAGATATTGTTATCAAGTAATGAAAAAAAAAACTCAATTATTTTTTCAATATCTCTAGCCAAACCATCAAATGAAACGATCTCCGAAGGTCACTTAATAAGTAATTTACAAGTGTAGACAACAAGCAGAATAGTTATTTGACCAAAATTGCTGGATACACATTACTGAATCAATCTGGCCACTTATAAATATACATCATTTGTGACTAGTTTTATTCAGTTCTTAACAACACAAATTCTAATGAAGCTCTTAACGAATTCCTTTGTTCGTTAAGTTGATTAAGTGTTTACTGTGTGTACAATGGCTAAACAGTAACTCGTTCTTATACAATTTTATGTACTATCATCATTCCCTTTAGCAATTATTTCCAGATAACCTAGTTTTCTTTTTACAATAACAAATTACTTTAGAAATGTTCTGGTTTATTTATCTGAAGTAATTAAACAGCTCATTATAATTTATTTGTTTATTTATTTAAACACATAAACATTGATACAAAGAGGCACCAAACAGATATGCGCTACATAAATCATTCAATTTGTGTGAGGGCCGGGATACTTCCCCAGTGCCAAAACCGAAGCAGGTGGTTTTCAAATGGATCCACACCTGGAGCCTTTGACTTAAGGGTCTAATCCATAAGGCAGTGGAGCAACGTAGGGAGATGCAGTCCCATGGTAGCCGGTGAACAACGATTGGTTCATACGCCATTTGTTCTCTCGAAATACTGGAGCCCATGTACACCATTGGTTTGGAATTACAGTTTTCCAACTTCACTAGGTGAACTCTCTGTGTCCACCAACCCGGTTAAAGCGCCAGACATTCGCTGTTCATCGTCTCGATTTCGCAAACAACAGTAATACCGAGAGAAGGCAGTGAGTATGAGTTCCCTGGTAGTTGTTGTATGCACGTGACCATGTGAGAGCATTATAATAGTAGTATATTTATCTAAGCTTTTTTACTGATGTGTTACTATTATTTAAAAATGAGTGAATAATTCGTTGACACTGACCTCAATACAACTCATAGCAAAGAATATCAATAAATAAAATAGTATTAGAACCGGGTCTTCATAATATTCACATTATATTACTTGGAAAATTATCAGTGATTACAGGATAATTTCAAACCTTTCTATAATAAACAAACTGAATGAAGATGAAAAATATGTATACCAGTGGATCATAACTTATTGATGTTTAAATAGTTAGAAGTGGTCAGTTGGAAAACTTGCTTGGCCTAAGTTTCCTACTAGTTAGAACTCATTAATAAGGAGTGCCTGAACACCTATGGGATTCGATTACCTCTAGTCATCTGACATTTTCAAATAAACTACTAAGACCAGTGACTGTACTGAAAATTGATAGACAGAATCCAATAAACACTAAAATACTAGATAAAAGTAACATAAACCACTATTCAGTTATGACTTACTGACTCAGTATTATATGTCATGAATAAGATGAATAAGAACAAAATTGATTCGAAAAAGATCTTTCCTCCAAGTCCCATTGCGAAGATTTACATTGAGATTTAGGTACATCCAAATGAATAACCTAATATAGGTAGTAACATATGTTCTTGAAATCACTGTTAGCCACTTATCAACTTTAACTAAAAGTTGTTTTTAAATTACACTCCGGTTTCCGGTCAAGGCGATTTATAAGCGACATGTATGTAAATTTGACCGAAATGACATGATACTGACTTGTTCAGACCTGTTTTCTGATTGATCGCACAAAATATTCTTGCGTTGTTTTTTTTTACCATTTGAAGTTGGATTAATTTTGATTTTGTTATTTATTCTCTGAAGAAGTGGCTTACACTGAGTCACGAAACGTCAGAAAATCTAATTTTTCTACTCATTGGGATATTACAAATATATTATTTATTTATAAAAATCTACCCAATGCTCAATTTATTCGAAATTATCAGGTCAAACTTTGGGAATGATACCTAGAAATTACAAATGTTTACGGAACATATAAATAATAGATTTACACTTAAATTACTGTGGTGTGTGCTACGGATGTTGACAGATATAAGTAGTGTGTATCATCAATCGAAACTGAAATGCATGAAGGCAGAAGGTTAAGAAGATGTAATGAAAGAGAACGAGAACAGAGGATGATTGGTGTGGAAACGAAGAAACAATGAAGTCTGAGACGATTGATTAACATTTTGAAATGAAGTATTTACTGTATGCTTCTCAGATTCTACCAAGACGTTCTGTAATTTTGTATTCAAATACATGTGGTTTTCCTCAGTGATATTTTTGTTCGTTCCATTACAACAACCTAAGAACAGAAAAAGACAACAATAGTGCATGAGCCATATGGAATCTTAACACTAGGACAGTATAAAGTTTGGATAAACTGAGTGTTTAAATAATAAATACATAGTAAAAGTGTAAATACTAGTCTTTCAAAAAGTAGCCTCCAAACTTTTCTTTTATTCATTTCACTCTAACACCCCTACTCACTCAGCGTACTGTTTTGCCTTATGTTCTTATTCTATATTCCCTTTATGTTTACCAATATAAAAGACTCATTTCTCTTATACACTTCTATAGCGTAAGTGTACTATTTTTTCATCAATGATGTTTTATAAGTATGTAGGCGTAATAACTGCTCCCTTATATTTATTCTTTACTTAGTCAAAATACAGTATTTCTATGTATGGACTAATTTAATATTAGTGTAGAGAATAGAAAGAGAATTGAATCTTTTCTTTGAATACACTTATCAAACTCACAACTAATAATCAGTGTATTTGGTTGAAAAATTTCTATAAACTAGGTTAGTTTCTCAAGTGAGATTTTGTCACACATTGACTTTTATCAAGGAACTAATGAAATCAATAAACCACTTGAAAGAGGTATCGAACCCCGAAATTTCAGATCTTGCAGCAAATGAGTTTGAATAGTTATCCATATATCTAGTTTTAATAAGTTCCTTACAAAACTCATTAATCATACCTAGAGTTCAGTGATAATAGCTTAACTCTGAAGGTGAATAAGTGTCCTTATGAACTTAAAAGACTTAATTCAGTACAATCACTTAAATAGACGCAACACCTGATTAGTGATCATTGGTTTCAAATATCTCCGTTATAAAGTTCAGTCCATGACAAAAACTATCTTTAAAAATTTGCTTCTATATCCTTATTAGAGAATTTTTCATTTTGCAGATGATTTTTTCTCTGAATCCATTAAGGATGATACATTCTGTCATTGAATATTTCTGGTATCACATTTATTAAACTTTTATGCTTCTCCTGTGGAGATGCTTTTAGGTAACATCAAAATCTTCTTACATTAGCTCAGTAAGAACATCATCAACATCATCATCATCATCATCATCATCATCATCATCATCATCATCATCATCATCATCATCATCATCATCATCATCATCATCATCATCATCATCATCATCATCATCATCATCATCATCATCATCATCATCATCATCATCATCATCATCATCATCATCATCATCATCATCATCATCATCATCATCATCATCATCATCATCATCATCATCATCATCATCATCATCATCATCATCATCATCATCATCATCATCATCATCATCATCATCATCATCATCATCATCATCATCATCATCATCATCATCATCATCATCATCATCATCATCATCATCATCATCATCATCATCATCATCATCATCATCATCATCATCATCATCATCATCATCATCATCATCATCATCATCATCATCATCATCATCATCATCATCGTCATCATCATCATCATCATCATCATCATCATCATCATCATCATCATCATCATCATCATCATCATCATCATCATCATCATCATCATCATCATCATCATCATCATCATCATCATCATCATCATCATCATCATCATCATCATCATCATCATCATCATCATCATCATCATCATCATCATCATCATCATCATCATCATCATCATCATCATCATCATCATCATCATCATCATCATCATCATCATCATCATCATCATCATCATCATCATCATCATCATCATCATCGTCATCATCATCATCATCATCATCATCATCATCATCATCATCATCATCATCATCATCATCATCATCATCATCATCATCATCATCATCATCATCATCATCATCATCATCATCATCATCATCATCATCATCATCATCATCATCATCATCATCATCATCATCATCATCATCATCATCATCATCATCATCATCATCATCATCATCATCATCATCATCATCATCATCATCATCATCATCATCATCATCATCATCATCATCATCATCATCATCATCATCATCATCATCATCATCATCATCATCATCATCATCATCATCATCATCATCATCATCATCATCATCATCATCATCATCATCATCATCATCATCGTCATCATCATCATCATATAGTGGAAATTATTTTTTTGGTAAGAAAAAGAACGAATATCGTATTCGAATTCAATCAAAAGCTGAATGTCATCAAATAAGCTATTTTAGAAACTGATCGATAAAAGAAAATTAGTCATCCTTCACCTCAGGAACGACAAAATGTTACTGCATATCTATTTTGTATATTGTAAAATGTAAAACAAATAAAGTACATTAAAAATTTTCATATCAAATATCGTTTGAATCCCTTTATTAGTTACATTTCTTAAATCTTACCTTAGAAAACTCATAGGGAGATAATTTATGATTGAAAGTGCTTTAATCTTTAATATCCAACTGCCAGTTTTAACCATACCAGCTGTTTTGAGATTTTGGTAACTAGATAGTATCAATTACCATAACTCTTAAACTAATACAGTACCTGATTACATTTTTACATAAACATCAAATACAATGGAACAATTATTTACATCATTAATAAACCTCATTCCTTTTTACTTTGTATACAAGATAGTACTTCAAAGAAGTAGGAAATTGCATATTTTGTATAACAAAACTTCTTATATTGATTAAATTCATCTATCTAATGATATTTTTCTATTGTGATGTGAAATATTTTCTTTCTCTTTACCCCTTGATAAAATCACAAAATAATTAATATCCAGGACAAAGTACCCGAATTGACTATCAAATGACAATGTTACTGAAATAAATCTTTCTTTTTCTTCTTTCTTTCAAATACCTGTCTATCTACCTAGTTAACAAGAAATTAAAATATAATCGTTCAATAATTTCAGTGATACTACATCATTTTATTATTTAAATAAAGTAAATGATCACAAATGATTATCGTTTGGAGATTGATACATAGGGAGTTAGGTTATTCGGTTGTTAATATTGAAGACTAAATTCTGATAAATCTTTGTTGGTGAACTCACTCCCCCTATATGTCTTCCAGAGTTACTACCGGTCTCAAGCCTGTGTAAAGGATCATGGTTGGGCATAGGATTAACGACCCCATCTCGTAGAAAACTAACTTACTAAAAAAACGCTAACCGGAAAAAATAATTCAAACCATATAAACTCTGCCCTGGGAGTTAGAAGGTCTTCATTTAGAACAACTATAACGCCTCATGATGAAAGCCGAGTTCCTTCGGAAGTCACGAGGCCGATACCCTTTCTAAAAACCAGAGCAACAAGAATAACAACTGGAAAGTACTTCAAAGGTTTGCCCAGGATAGGGTTGGATGGAGAGTGCTGGTAGGCGGTCTATGCTCTTCCACGAGGATTAACAGGAGTAAGTATGTTAGTTAGTTGGCGTATCATGCATTGTATATTGACTGGATCGATAAAGCCCTTACGTCACACTTCTTATAAATTAGGTGGATTTTCAATAACAGTAGAATACAAGATACGTATTTAGTTCAATTTGAAACCCAATAACTAGATATTTCTGTATTACAAACTGCTAAGAATAATGATATAAATTTCATACCCATTGAAAAAAGTTGAACGCTATCTAGACATACTAGTTAAATGGATAACACAATAGTGTTTAAAATGAAAAGTATTATGTCAACAATAAAAGCGACAACACTGGAATAAAAGTACATTCATTTGTATGAGTCTTAAATAGGTTAAAACGCACATCACTTATCCCACTACTAACCAACATTCATTTATTCTACAAACATGTTACCCCCACCTTTAAATATCTTCATAGCAATAGTTGTGGTTGAATACTAATATTTTACAATGTGATATTACTTATTAATCATTTCAGTAGTAACTATAATGCTTAAATTCATGTGTATTTTTTCTTTCTTTAAAATAAAACTTACATAGATGCTTGCCCAAACTTTAAAGATTTATCAAATATATTGATTAGAAGAATTCCATAAAACATTCATATGGGAATAAAGTGAAAAACAAAAAACGACAGAAAACATCAACAACTTGGCATTACAATTCCATTGAGATGATAAAGTCAAATATTTTTCATTTTCTTTAAGAGGTAATTTTAAAAAAAAGGAACTAATACTAGAACAGTACAAGAAGGAAATAGTAAACATGGTCATGGTTAATCAATAACTTGAAAGTGAATAATTCAACAACAAAAATAATTGTGAAACAATGTATTAGTCATGTAAGTTTTGAAGATAGGGAAACCACAATTAGTCTAGTACATATACGTAATAAAGAAGGAAATAAGGTTAGTAACTATAAAATGTCCATTTTGTTCATGATAATGTGATATGTGCTACTTATATTGACATAAATAGTATATAACGCCAATTAGCAACAACCAACTGTGGGAAAGAACAAACCAGATCCCAGTGGAGGAAGAAATTAGGAAGAAGCGCTTGAAGTGGATAGGACACACATTGAGGAAAGCATCCAACTGCGTCACAAGACAAGCCCCCACATGGAATCCTCGAGGCCAAAGGAAAAGAGGAAGACCAAAGAACATATTACGCCGGGAAATGGAGATAGACATGAGAAAAATGAACAAGAATTGGATGGAATTAGAAAAGAGGGTCCAGGACAGAGTGGGTTGGAAAATGCTGGTCGGCGGCCTATGCTCCATTAGGAGTAACAGGCGTAAGTAATTAACGCCAATCAGTAACAGAATGCTGGGTAAAAGGAAGTTGAGAAGATTGAAGAGGAAAGAACAGGAACAGAAAGTTGTTAGTATGGAAATGAAAGATTAATGAAGTCTGAGACAATTAATGAACGTTTTGTAAATGAAGTATTGAAGGATGGTCTTTCTATTTGATCAAGTAATTCGGTAATTTTGTGCTAGAATTATAATAAAGGACACCATGATTTTAAAGAATATAAATGAAATAATCGAATACGGAAACTCAGTTCTATATTCATATAAGTGCACCACCAATGTAAACGATAAAGTTTTTGAGTGTGTTGTGTTTTGTACCAAAATTTAATTGAGTAATGAGTTTGGTTACTGTTGAGATTATTCAATCCGATGTTAGTTTTCAACATGGATAGTTAACGACAGAGATTAACCGATAAACATGAGACACTGAGAAGCCGTTTTAGTCTAATAAAAATGTCATTCATACCATAAAACGATGGATACATCATTTCGCAAGTTCATATAAGTCAACAATATAGACCAAAGGATTCCAACTTAGTAGTCACTACAATCAACTTTTGAAATTACTATTTAAACCATCTTCAGTTGATAACCTTAAAGAATCTTGAAGACAGTCTATAAATGCATTAACATCAAAGGAGTTTAGATATACAGCATATGATTAACTTGGTCAAATCAATTTATCTAATAAGTATAATTGCACAGAATTGATTAAAACATAAATAAGATCGTGAATTATAGACTCAGTAGGTAATTAATAGGCTATTAAAATATAAATTATTGTGATAAAACCTAATTAACTATTACATGGAATTCAAAATATATTTCAAATGTTTAATAAAATGAGTCATTAAAATGTTGACAAACTACTTGTGAGTAGTATAATACATTCTAAAAATTCACTTTACAGAGTGATGAAAATAAAGTATGTTCAATGTCACATGGTTTGAATTTCTGTAACTTTAACACGTTTCAATTTCATTAACTTAATAATTTAATAACAATGTCTATATTATCAATAAATAATTATATCAAATAAATACTCTATTATTCTTATTTACGAACAGCTAGGATGCAGCTGGACGATCTAGACTTCGCAGATGATCTGACTCTTCTGTCGCACACGCAGCAACAAATGCAGGAGAAGAAGACCAGTGTGGCAGCAGTAGGTCTCAATATACACAAAGGGAGAAGCAAGATTCTCCGATACAACACAGCATGCGCCAATAGAATCACACTTGACGGAGAAGATTTGGAAGATGTAAAAACCTTTACATGTATGGGTAACATCATTGATGAACTCGGTGGATCTGATGCAGATATGAAAGCGCGGAACGGCAAAGCAAGAAAGGCATATCTACAACTGAAGAACATCCGTAACTCAAAACAATTGTCAACCAACACCAAGGTCAGAATTTTTAATACCAATGTCAAGACAGTTCTACTGAATGGGGTGTGAACTACGAAAACTATCATCAAGAAAATACAAGTGTTTATTAACAGCTGTCTACGCAAAGTACTTCGGATCCGTTGGCCAGACAAAATCAAAAACAATCTACTATGGGAGAGGTTAAAACAGATTCCAGCGGAGTAAAAAATCAGGAAGAAGCGCGGGAACTGGATAGGACACACATTGAGGAAAGCACCTAACAGCATCACAATGCAAGCTTTCATTTGGAATCCAAAGAAGACCCAAGGAGAAGAGAAAGACCAAGGAGCACATTAAGCCGAGAAATGGAGACAGACATGAGAACAATTAGATAGAACTAGAAAGGAAGGCTCAGAACAGAGTGTGTTGTAGAAAGCTGGTCGGCGGCATATGCTCTATTGGGAGTAACAGGCGTAAGTAAGTAAGTAGATTTTATTTACTCTAACATCGGTTGTTTGGAACTTCATTTGAATGTGTTATGTTTCATCTTCTTAGGCACAGGCATCTATCGAACTCTGTCCTGGGCAATCGTTTTGAATTGTTTCCAGTTTTTATTTATTCTTTTGATGTCTGTTTCTGATTCCTGACGCAATATGTTCTTTGGTCTTCCTCTTTTCGTTTTTCCCTCAGGGTTCCAAGCCAAGGCTTGCCTCATGATTTAGTCTGGTGATTTCAGTATGGGGTCAACAACTAAATTATGTAAAAAAACAACCTTGCAAAGAATAAACGCTAGCTAGAATAAATAAGTTCTAAGGTAAATGGCTTAAGTGTAAAGTTTTCATAGCCTTTCTGGAAAACATTATATTAGAGTAAACTTGAAAAAAGATGTAAGTTAATGAAATGTATTCACTTGTGGTTAACAAATTGTTCTATTGCTATGGTAAATATTTGGTTATCGTTGGTAATATCACTGTCTACGTTTACAAATCTGTTTTTATCACTCTTTGCCTGTCCTAACGGACGGCTATCATCTTCCTTTTCAAGCATCATCTTGAGTCGATTTCAATGTTTTTTTATTGTCAGATGTTTCTTAGTATTAGGCTTCTGAGAGTTTTATGGGTTAAGTTGT